GGAACTGTTTTAAGAGACAGATATATGTGTGTGTATATATATATATATGTATGTATATATGTATTAACAGAAGGTTTTTTGTAACAGCTCAGAGAATTCACAAACCAGCAACTTCGGTTTTGAAGTACCTCGAGCTAGACACCGCTGGTCTTAAAATTTTGCTTCCTGAATGAATAATTTCATGTCAAGTTTCAGTGCAAGATGAACTATTTCAACAAGCCTGAAGGAGACTTTTGTACAAAGGCATTCTTTAATATTCTTAAGACTGTTGAATGCCATAGCAATGGGAAGTGTGGGAGAAGAATAAAAGAGATTGGCAAAACAAGCAAAATTTTCGAGGTTAATATTTAACATTAAAGATCTGTGGGATTACAACCAGGCAGGAGAGTACTGCAGTGATGTTATCGCTTTATGAGGTTACTAGAAAACCACACTTGAAAAGGTCTTGTCTTCGTGTGCTTCTGTGTTGTGTACAAACCCCTTCCCAGGTAGACTTTAAATGTGTGTGCTTCTCGCGGAGATACACACGTAGTGCTGAACTGAGCATTAAAAATATCGATTAGGTTCAGGTTTGCAGTAGGACACTGATTCAGTTTAGCAGGAGGCTCGGGTATGACGGCACGTGAAGATTTGTCCTGTTTCAGAAATGCAGGTGGAAGACCTGCCGTGTCCTTCCTTTAATTTCTCTCTGGCTTCTCAGTAGTGCCGGTGATTGTGCTGTAAGGACTGAAGAGAAAGGTAGAAGTCGTTCAAAGGCCTTTGAGTTTGATCTGATTTACTAAAATAAAACACAGCTCAAAATTCAAGGGTGATTAAACATATTTTTATCTTTCTTTAACCTTGTATGATATTATTATGTTTTACATGTCCCAGAAATTCAGTCCTGTACATAGCAATTAACCTTTTATGTTTTTTTTTTCCCTTGACTTAAACACAAAAAGGTGAGGATAAAGGCAAGCTGCGATAACATCAGCATACATGCCTGCTTCATTTTCTGTCTAAAGATACAGCTCAAATGTTTGTCATCCAAAAACACCTGGTTGATTCCCCCAGACGCTGGTTTATTTTAAATTTGGAAGTATTTGAATCTCTTTCTAAATGTCTTCTCCCTACCTTTGTTTCTTCTATTTGGCCAAAGCATGAAAGAGATGCAGAGAAGGCCTTCTCCTCCCCTCGCTGCATACAGAAGTTTATCTGAATAACTCTTCTCTCTGGTAAAACTCGTGTTCCGTAACCTCCGTCATTATATTCAGTTCCCCTACTGCAAAATTATGGAATAATTGAGTTTCAGGGGGAGGTTTGGCCCTGGAGCTTAGCAGATACAGGATGGATTCCTTTATGTGCTTTCAGGTGTCATTTCCAGGTGGGGGGGGGCCGTGTGTGTCTGTCTGTCCATCCGTTCTGCCTGGGGCAGGGCTTCGGCGGCGACAGCCGGGAAGGTATTGTGGGCTCACCATGGACCCTGTACGTGGGATGTGCCGGCCATGCCCAGCACATGGGGAGTTTACTGTTTCTTCCGGTATTCGAATGTTAGAAGTTTAAATTTGCTCTTCCTCTTCTAGCTGTGCTTTTGCTTACAGCGAGTGTGTACACAGTGCTATTACTTGAAAGAACCTGAACGGTGTGTTTCTGCACCCCCTTTCTGCTGAACAGTTAGATAGAGCTGCAATCTTAAGTCATTTCATCACACCTCTTGCCACCTTTTCTATTTTACACGTTCTGTGAAGCTGGTTCTCATAAAGCACTTGTCAGTGAATAATGATGAGTCCTCTGTCATCCCAAAATTTAAGTGCTGCCTGAACTGCATAGATCATCAGGAACATCACAGCATGTACTTTTGCTGCCCATTTAGGTCCACCTTAAACCAGACAGGTTTTTATTTGAAACTTCCAGGCAGTTCCTTGCACTTCTGCACGACAGGCAGAGGCTACCTGTGCAGTGAGCACAGGGGTGTAAGATCAGGGTGTCCTCTGCCCCCTCCCCACAGCAGAGGACAGCATGGCAGAGTTGCAGAGCACAGAAGGGAGGTTGTGGGGCTGCAGCATCGGGGAGGTCACGAAAAGCAGAAGGTGTCCTCTGAAAACCCGACGTCTGTGTGCAAATGAAGGAAACGGAAAGGATCGTAAACTGGCAGAAAAACATGAAAGTGCAGATTTGAGACTGAAAAACTGTTGAAGGGGCACTTGGCAAAGGAGTCGAAGACAACTGTAAATCTTTCTTCACATCAGAGCACGAAGCCCGTAAGGCCCACACGGTCAAGACATGAAAGGAACGCTCAGCCAGGGTAACAACCTAAAAATACGGGTTTGGCGTCCGGCACTCGCGGCGGAAGAGACCGGGGACGCTCCCACGCCAAAGTCTTACTTTGTGGAGGGAGTCACCAGAAGATGTCTGAAACTGAAGAGAACATTAGCATTGCTACTAAGCTATGACCACTAACTACCCCATGACCAGAGCTGGGTGACAATTACCCAGCAGCTGCCGGGGGTGAAACAGCCGGACCGGTGACAGCAGTGGGTAACCGTGCGCTCTGTGCCGGGTCCGTAACTGAGCAGCAAACACAAGGACAGTTTTTAAAGTGCGTCCAAGGGGGATCTGGGCACAGGCCTGCCAGCCTGACGTGCAGACCGAGCCAGGTGCCAGAACTGCACTAGCAGAACGTGTGGGAAGGGGTGTGTATGTGGGATGTACATGGGAGGATTCCTGACGGCTTTTGTAAGGGACATCCCACTTCTCAGAAATCTCTGGAGTTCTTCAAAGGAGAAGGTCAGCAAACGTGTGTAAACATGATCCAGCTGGCATCGTCTGCAATTTCCAAAGGGCATTTGACAAAGTTCCTGACCAAAAGCTTTTAAGGAAACTAAACAGGCATGGAATAAGAGGATAAAGGTAGGATATGCTA